ACAAAGAAGGGCATTACATAATGGTAAAAGGATCAATGCAACAAGAAGAGCTAACAATCCTAAATATATACACACCCAATACAAGAGCACCCAGATACATAAGGCAAGTTCTTAATGACCTACAAAGAGACTTAGACTCCCACACAATAATAGTGGGAGACTTTAACACTCCACTGTCAATATTAGACAGATCAATGAGACAGAAAATTAACAATGATATCCAGGACTTAAACTCAGACCTGGACCAAGCAAACCTAATAGACATTTACAGAACTCTCCACCTCAAATCCACAGAATATACATTCTTCTCAGCACCACAATGCACTTACTCTAAAACTGACCACATAATTGGAAGTAAATCACTCCTCAGCAAATGCAAAAGAATGGAAATCATAATAGTCTCTCAGATCACAGATCAAATTAGAACTCAGGATTAAGAAATTAACTCAGAACCGCACAACTTCATGGAAACTGAACAACTGGCTCTTGAATGTTGACTGGATAAACAATGAAATGAAGGCAGAAATAAAGATGTTCTTTGAAACCAACGAGAACAAATACACAACATACCAGAATCTCTGGGACACATTTAAAGCAGCCTCTAGAGGGAAATTTATAGCAATAAATGCCCACATGAGAAGCAAGGAAAAAGCTACTATCAACACCCTATCATCAAAATTGAAAGAGCTAGAGGAGCAAGATCGAAAAACTCAAAACCTAGCAGAAGACAAGAAATAACTAAGATCAGAGCAGAACTGAAGGAGATAGAGACACAAAAAAAAAACTTCAAAAAATCAGTAAATCCAGGAGCTGTTTTCTTTTTCTGAAAAGATCAACAAAATAGACAGAGAGCTAGCCAGATTAATAAAAAAGAAAAGAGAGAAGAATCTAATAGATGCAATAAAAAACTGTAAAGGGGGTATCATCACCGATTCCACAGAAATACAAACTACCATCAGTGATTACTACAAACAACTCTATGCACATAAACCAGTAAACCTGGAAGAAATGGATATATTAATGGACACTTGCACCCTCCCAAGCCTAAACCAGGAAGTTGAAACCCTGAATAGACCAGTAACAAGGTCTGAAGTTGAGGCAGCAATTAATAGCCTGCCAACCAAAAAAAGCCCAGGTCCAGATGCATTCACAGCCAAATTCTACCAGACATACAAAGAGGAGCTGGTACCTCTCCTTCTAAAACTATTCCAAACAATACTAAAAGGGGGAGTCCTTCCCAAATCATTTTAGGAAACCAACATTGTTCTGATACCAAAACCTGACAGAGACTCAACAAAAAAAGAAAACTTTAGGCTATGAGGCACATAAATGCAAAAATCTTCAATAAAATACTGGCAAACCAACTACAACAGCACATCAAAAAGCTTACCCATCATGATCCAGTAGGCTTCATCCTGGGGATGCAAGGCTGGTTCAACATATGCAAGTCTATAAATGTAATTCATCACATAAACAGAACCAAAGACAAAAAACACATGATTATCTCAATAGATGCAGAGAAGGCCTTTGACAAAATTCAACAGCCCTTTATGCTAAAAGCTCTCAATAAACTAGGTATCGATGGAATGTATCTCAAAATAATAAAAGCTATTTATGACAAACCCACAGCCAATATTATACTAAATGAGCAAAAACTGGAAGCATTCCCTTTGAAATCTGGCACTAGACAAGGATTCCCTTTCTCACCAATCCTATTCCATATAGTATTGGAAGTTCTAGCCAGGGCAATCAGGCAAGAAAAAGAAATGAAGAGTATTCGAGTAGGAAAGGAGGAAGTCAAATTGTCTCTATTTGCAGATGACATAATTGTATATTTAGAAGACCCCATCATCTGAGGCCAAAATCTCCTTAAACTGATAAGCAACTTCAGCAAAGTCTCAGGATACAAAATCAATGTGCGCAGAAATCACAAGTATTCCTATACACCAATAACAGACTAACAGAGGGCCAAATCAAGAACAGACTGCCATTCACAATTGCCACAAAAAGAATAAAACACCTAGGAATACAACCAACAAAGGAGGTAAAGGACCTCTTCAAGTAGAACTACAAACCACTGCTCAAGGAAATAAGAGAGGACACAAACAGATGGAGAAACATTCCATGCTCATGTTTAGGAAGAATCAATATTGTGAAAATGGCCATACTGCCCAAAGGAATTTATAGATTCGATGCTATCCCCATCAAGCTGCCTATGACCCCTTTCACAGAACTGAAGAAAACCGCCATATGGAACTGAAAAAAACTTCATATGGAACTGAAACAGAACCCAAATAGCCAAGACAATCCTAAGCAAAAAGAACAAAGCTAGAGGCATCATGCTACCTGACTTCAAACTATACTGCAAGGCTACAGTAATCAAAAAAGCACAGTACTGGTACCAAAACAGAGATATAGACCAATGGAACAGAATAGAGGCCTCAGAGGCAACATCACACATCTACAACCATCTGATCTTTGACAAATCTGACAAAAACAAGCAATGGGGAAAGTATTCCCTGTTTAATAAATGGTGTTGGAAAAACTGGCTAGTCATGTGCAGAAAACAGAAACTAGACCCCTTCCTGACACCTTACACTAAAACTAATTCCAAGATGCATTGAAGACTTAAACATAAGACCTAACACCATAAAAACCCTAGAAGAAAACCTAAGGCAATACCATTCAGGACATAGGCATAGGCAAGGACTTTATGACAAAAACACCAAAAGCATTGGCAACAAAAGCCAAAATAGACAAATGGGACCTAATCAAACTCCACAGCTTCTGCACAGCAAAAGAAACAATCATTAGAGTGAATCAGCAATCAACAGAATGGGAAAACATTTTTGCAATCTACTCATCTGACAAAGGGCTGATATCCAGAACTTACAAAGAACTAAAACAGATTTACAAGAAACAAACAAACAAACCCATTCAAAAGCAGGCAAAGGACATAAACAGACACTGTTCAAAAGAAAACATATATGAGGTCAACAAACATGCAAAAATGCTCATCATCACTGGTCATTAGAGAAATGCAAATCAAAACCACACTGAGATACCATCTCACACCAGTTAAAATGGCAATCATTAAAAAATCAGGAGAAAACAGATGCTGGAGACGATGTGGAGAAATAGGAACACTTTTACACTGTTGGTGGGAGTGTAAATTAGTTCATCCATTGTGGAAGACAGTGTGGCAATTCCTCAAGGACCTAGAAATAGAAAATCCATTTGACCCAGCAATCCCATTACTGGGTATGTATCCAAAGGCTTATAAATCATTCTATTATAAAGACACCTGCACACATATGTTCATAAATCATTCTATTGTAAAGACACATGCACACATATGTTCAATAGCAAAAACCTGGAATCAACCCAAATGCCCATCCATGATAGACTGGATAAACAAAATGTGGCACATACACACCATGGAATACTATGCAGCCATAAAAAATGGATGAGTTCTTGTCCTTTTTAGGGACATGGATGAATCTGGAAGCCATCATTCTCAGCAAACTGACACAAGAACAGAAAATCAAACACTGCATGTCCTCACTCATAGGTGGGTGTTGAACAATGAGAACACATGGACACAGGGAGGGTAGCATCACACTCTGGGGTGTTGCAGGGGACTAGAGGAGGGACAATGGGGGGTAGGGAGGTTGGGGAGGGATAACATGGGGAGAAATGCCAGATATTGGTGACAGGAGGATGGAGGCAGCAAACTGCATTGCCATGTATGTACCTATGCAATAATCCTGCATGATCTGCACATGTACCCCAGAGCCTAATGTACAATTATATATATATATACTTTTTTAAAAAAAGAAAAGAAAAGAAAAGAATGTGTATTCTGCTATTGTTAGGTGGAGTATTCCATAAATATCAGTCAGGTTGAGTTGGTTTGTAGAATTGCTTAAATCTTCTATATCCTTACTGATTTTCAGTATACTTGTATTAATTGTTGAAAGTGGGATATTTTATTTTTAAGTTGCTGGCTACATGTGCAGGATGTGCAGGTTTGTTGCATACATAAACATGTGCCATGGGGGGTTGCTGCACCTGTCAAACCATCACCTAGGTTTTCAGGCCAACATGTATTAGCTATTTTTTCTTAATGTTCTCCCTCCCTCAATCCCACCCACAACAGGCCCCAGTGTGTGTTGTTCTCTTCCCTGTGTCCATGTGTTCTCATTGTTCAGCTCTTACTTGTAAGTGAGAACATTCAGTGTCTGTTTTTCTGTTCCTACGTTAGTTTGCTGAGGATAATGTCTTCCAGCTCCATCCAGGTCCTTGCAAAGGATATGATCTTGTTCCTTTTTGTGGTGAAATAGTGATATTTAAATATCCAACTATAATTATTAATTTATCTATTTCACCTTACAGCTCTTCAGTTTTTGCTTAAAATATTTTAAAGCTCTGTTATTGGGAACACACATGGTTAGAACTATTATGTCCTCTTGATGAACTGACACTTTATCATTATGAAATGGCCATCCTTTCTCCTAGCAATATTCTTGGCTATGTAATCTACTTTGTCAGATATCAATATGGTCACTCCAGATTTATTTTAGTTAGTGTTAACTAGAACATCTTTTTCCATCCTTTTACCTTTACCTTATTTGTATTTTCATATTTAAATGTTTTTCTTGTAGGCAGCATATATCTGAGTCTTCCTGTTGACAATCTTTGCCTTTTAATTAAGGTATTTACATAATTAATAATTAATGAACATTAACCAATATAGTTGGGTTTAAATCTGCCATCTTTCTATTTGTTCTCTATTTGTTTTATCTAATTGTTTCCTTCTTCTCTTTTTATGCCTTCTTTTGGATTAATAGTTTTTGAGTTTTTTTTTTTTAAACAATTTCATTTCATCTCTATAGGCTTTTAAACTATAGCTCTTTGTGTTATTTAGGAGGTTGCTTTAGGGTTTAGAGTACACATCCTTAGTTCATTACAGTCTTTCTTTTTTTTTAATTTTTTTTTGTTTGTTTTAAAACTTTTACTGCAATGTAACAATGAAGTAAACAGTAATTAGACACCTATCAATTTTTCCCCAAAACAAAACAAAACAAAAAAATGTAAACAGGAAAATAACTCTGCCTATACTTGTACAGCTTCTCAAATCATGTTAGAAGGGTCTCACATTCAATGATCAAGAAATTTTAAAATAGCAGTAATTATTTTCATTTTAAGAAAAGGTTCCCTTTCTCCCCTCCCACCCCAAGTATTTAACATGAAAGAATGGGCTTCCTTACACATTAATTTTATACTTATTTTTGAAGCAGTAACAATTAACCATCGATAATTTGGCATTTCTGTTTACAGTCGCTACAAAAATTTTTTAAATTTCACAAAGCCATTATCCAGTGTTGCCATGAAACAGAGACTGTAAATTCTAGGTAGCTAAGATTCTTTCTGAAACCAATGTTAAGTCAAAGAAATATAAAGCAGGGCATTACACTAAGTTTCTGGATCTACACTAAAAAGAACGAAACCTAGGAAAAGTTACCTACTGTTTTACAGAAGAAATAAAGACCTGCAAAAGCTGCTTTTTGGTTGTATATTTTACACACTGTGTGGAGTTGCGGCATCTGCTAACTGAAGCAGACATGCACTGTATTTATCCCTGCCCTATATCCTACATCCCTCCCTCCCCACCCCCAACAATCTACTACCTTATACCACGTATTGTGGATATGAGCCCAAGTCATCCCAGACAATCCAGTGAACAAGTTAGTGTAATGCACTGGTGTGAAGTGTGAGATATAAAAAAGTCCCTTTCAATCTTCATCAAAGTTCTGCTGTAGAAGAAAATTGGCAGCCAAATTTTCATTCTTCTCACAAGCAAAATATGCTTGGATCACAAGTCCTCAGGGAAATCCTAATGCCTTTAACCTTTCTATAGCTTCTTTTTCCTGAGGCATTACTTGAATAGAGTTCATATGACCACTTCCAGCTTCTGCAATTCCTCCACTGCCACCTCCACCTCCTCCTCCTTGGCTGCCAGCTTCTTGAACTGGTTCATTTAACATCTGAATAAAATGCTCCTGGTGTTGGCTAATTTGCTGAAGTAACTGAGGATTCTCTCGACCTATCTGCTGTAGTAATGCTGGGAGCAGGGAAGGATTTCTGTTGAATAATTTGTCTCATCTGTTGAAATTGAGGCTGATTCCATAGAAATTCAAGGCGATGTCCTCCAGAACTTGTTGTTGTAGTCGTTGCTGTTGTAGTTGCTGCGGCTGCAGCCACTGCTGAAGACTGAGGAGCCCCAGTACTAGCTGCTTGAGGGGGGTCAACCACGGCCTGATTTTCTCTATCTCCAGGGATTCCCATTAAAAGATACTCCACTGCTCTGTCAGGGCTGTTGAAACTGGCTCTCAGGGCTGCAATTACTTGCTCTCGTTCATAGCCCATTGACATGATCTCAGTGACCATATTCTCATAAGACTGACCTGTCACAAGTGCACTTGTTGCATCTTCAAAAAGGTTTGACCGAGAAGAATCTCCTGATGTACTGTCAGTTGATGTTGGGCTCGTAGCCACTGGTGTCTCTGCTGGCTTTTCTGCAGGTTTCTCTTGCTTAGTTGCACTAGCAGGTGCAGGTTCAGGAGATGCCGTCACTGATGCTGGGGTGACGGACGTTGGTGTTGAAGTGGGCGCCAAAGCAGGGGCAGGGGTTGGAGCCTGAGCCACAGTTGTTACTATGGAGGAAGTAACTGCTGTAAGTGCTGGCAGGAACTGACTGCTGAGTTGTAGTTGGTGCTGGTGTTGACACTGCTTTGGGTTTGGTCACCATAACCACCACAAAGTTTTCCTCATCAATTTTATATTCTTTGAGAGCAGTATCATCATTGAGGATTTTGCCTGCATAAATTAATTTTTGACCTGCTACCGGAAAGGCATCTTTCCCCTTTTCAGATTCAATCTTCTCTTTCAGTGCTTTCACCATCTCCTCGGGGTCGATGTCTATCTTGAAGGTCTGCCGCTGGAGGGTCTTCAGGGTGACCTGCATGGTGCCACCGCGCCCATTACAGTCTTTCTCAAGGTGACATTATACCATTTGACATATAGCATTAGAACCTTACAACAGTATCCTGCCATTTCTCTTCTAACTGGCTTTGTGCTAGTTATGTGATACATTTTACTTCTACATGTTATAAACCTCACAACACACTAGTATTTTTGCTTTAAACACTTCTTCCTCCCAGCAGGCATATTTCCAGCAAGCTTCTTTCTGTTCTCTTGCTAGAAATTTGTCTAAAATAAGAACAAATAGGATCTGAGATCATATGGTTCCATAATCTTTACTGTATGATCTGTGCTCTGAAGCTCTTTCCCCATTGCTTCCTGATTGTTAGTTGTGAATTTGCTGGATAGATCGCCTTCAAATATAAGTGAATTGTTATTTAATAAAGAAATCAGATAAAATCCGAACAGTGATTTAAAAAGAGAATTTGAAATAATTCAGTAATGAAAAAGACCCGGAGAGTAGGCTGTTATCAATTAAATTAAGGAGACAGCTGGGGGAAATCCTTCACAGAAAGGGAGGTGGGTACTCTGCATTTGTTCATTGTAGAACTAGAAGGCTGACCAAAAGTTGCCTCATTTTCCCTTTTAGGAACTGGTCTAAAATATTCTCTCACTTAATGAGGCATTTCTCCTTTCCCAAAGCCAGATGCGGTCAAGGTATTTTGTATTTTCTTTAGCCAGCAGTTTTAGATGTAGAAAATCCTCTCCAATCTTTAAAAAAAAAAAAAACAAAAAAAAAAAAAAAAAAAAAACAAAAAAAAAAACTTCTTGAAATATGGATAGTAGTATGAATTCTAGAATATCGTAATGCATTTTATTGGATTCAAATACAGGATAAAACATACTGCAACAGGAAGAAGGGAGCAGGCTACATAGGAGAAATTCTGAACCTGGTTAATGCGCACAGAGGATTTTAATTTAATCCTTGCTTGTACATCAACGGAGCGTTTAACTCCCTCTCTCCAGCAAGTTCTGACTGCAGTACTCCATGTTAAGGCACACTTTCTATTTCTATTCTAATTCTGTTAATTAGAATTCTATTTCTAATTCGATTTCTGCTTTCTAATCAAGTGCACAATACAATTGTCCATTTCTCAAATCCCTCCTTCTCCCGACATCTGGTTCTCTTGGCCCTCCACGTTCTTCTGTTAAAATTGAGTTCTAAAACGCCTCAGCCCTTAGAGTTTCGGTAAGAGAAGCTCGCTGAGGGCAGGGGTCTCTGGGTGCCCACTTCAGCTTCCCCAGTCATTTAGGACAATTTCCTAAGTCGAAGCTAGAGATGCGTGCGTGATTCGTTTGGTGACTTTTCCTGGGTTCTCGCTTAAACAGAGCCACAGGTTGTGGGGGCGACCAGGCCTCTGGGGAAAGGCAGGTGCCGCGGTGCGGGCGCGCGAGCAGCCAGCAGCCAAATCCACCTGTTCACAGGGCCCCGGCACCTCCGCGGGGAGGCGGAGGACGCGCGTGCAATCGCGCAGGGGCCCCCAGGAGAGGGGGAAAGCATCGGAGGAGACGCACAGCTGGAGCGAGGTCACCGTGTTCCCGCAGCGACCTGGGTTACCTCAGCCCGCGGCGCTGTGAGGCCCCCGCCCCCGAGCGCTCGCGACCCTGCGGAGCCCGCCGCCCACGCCGCGCTGAGGACGCTGCCCGAGCCCGGCTCCCGCCCCCGCCCACGACTTCAGCGGCTCGCAGCGCGCCGCCCCCAGACGCGCGTGGCTGCTGCCGAAGGCTGAGACCGCGCTCCCGCCGGCCAGTTCCCAGCGGCGGCAGCAGCGGCGGCAGCAGCGCATCCTCCCTGCTCCGCGCCTTCGCTCCGGACTCGCGTCGTCGAAGCCCCGCGGTGATGAGCCCCGAGCCGGTCCCGCCGCCGCCGCCCCAGTGCCCCGGCTGCGACGGCGCGGAGCCGATCGCCCAGCGCTTGGAGGAGGGCGACGAGGCCTTCAGCGCGGGCGAGTACGAGATGGCAGCCGAGCTCTTCCGCTCCTTGCTGGCCGGGCTGGCGCAGCCAGACCGCGGCCTGTGCCTGAGGCTGGGGGACGCGCTGGCCCGCGCCGGCCGCCTCCCCGAGGCCCTGGGCGCGTTCCGCGGCGCCGCGCGGCTCGGGGCGCTGCGGCCGGAGGAACTAGAGGAGCTGGCGGGCGGCCTGGTGCGCGCCGTAGACCTGCGCGAGCGGCCGCTGTCCGCGGAGAACCCGGGCTGCGAGGCGGAGGCGCCTGCGGAGGGAGGGCCGGCCCCGGCACCCCGCACGCCCCGCGACCTACTCGGCTGCCCGCGCTGCCGGCGGCTGCTGTACAGGCCAGTGACGCTGCCCTGCGGGCTCACGGTCTGCAAGCGCTGCGTGGAGCCGGGGCCCGCGCGGCCGCAGGGGCGGCGCGTGAACGTGGTGCTGTGCGGCCTGCTGGAGAGGTGCTTCCCGGCCGAATGCAGGGTGCGCAGGCTGGCGGGCCTGGCGCGGAGCCTGCAGCGCCAGCAGCAGCCCGAGGCCGCGCTGCTCAGGTGCGACCAGGCCCTGGAGCTGGGTGAGTCTGCGATGGGGCGGGCTCGCCTCCCCAACACCTGTCGGGCCCAGCAGCGGAGCGGGGAGCTGACCGATGGAAGCGACAGGCTTTGGGCTTTCGCGCGCTTTGTCCAAGCTTAGGGGTCGCTTTGCTTCCTAACGATGGGAAAGTGAAAGGTGGGGCGGCCACATCGTGCAGTGATGGTGGTCGCTGTCAGAGGCCACGTGCACCCCACTGGGTTTGAATTTTCCAGGATGTTAAGTTTCTCGAGGCCCCTTGAGCAGCTCAGTAAGCACCTGTAATTGCCTTTCGGCGCCTTCTGTGCTGTTGGGGAGGGGGAGGATGACGAAGTATTTTTGCTCATCCTGAAGGAAAATGCACGTAGCTGACACACTGGAGGCGCATAACGGGGTGCCTTGTGCTGGGGCAGGATTTGCTTTGGGTTTCAGCTAGTACAGCCAGGACGGAACCCCTTCCACTCTGCTGTCATCACGTCACATACTCAGGCTCCAGCCTGCTGTCTGTCTCCAAGGCCGTCATTAGATGTCACGGTGTATTTAACTTACTAGATAGTTACACTGACTAGTGTGTGTCGTTTTTAATTATTGATTCACTCATTCCCTTATTTATCTTAGGCCTAAGGCCAGCAACAGACATTCTCCTGCCTTCACCCAACCACCACCTGTTAACACTATTAAACTAAAAAGAAGACCAAACTTCTGTCATCGTTTTGGCTTTGACATATGAGTACGCGCTCTATTAGCAGCTGTTTTGGGCAGTGTGAGGAGAACGGTTTGCTTTCTGGTTTCACTGGTTTTATAACATAGGGTATATGTGATTTAAAGCACTAGCCAAGAAGACTTGTTGAATCTCTTGTTACTAAAAGAGTCTTCTAGCATCCTACAGGCAATAGGCATGTATTTAAAGTTAAGGTTATGGTTTTCTCTTTTAGGAGGCACAGATTACAAAGTGACTAAACATTCAGTTTTGTCTTGCAAAAAAAAAAAAAAAAAAAACCAGTAACTGAGCAAGTGTTCAATGTCTGTATCTAATTGGGATATTCTCTGCTGGAATAGCACACTTAACTCAGCTTATGTAACAAGTATTCTGGTTTTTGCAACCAACATATCCATACTTTAACAGGCATATTTTTGAGTTTTCTACTAATTTAGGTATTGATGGTGTTAGAGCAGCACTATCCAATAGAACTATTGTGTAAGCCACACATAATTCAAAATTTTCTTGTAGCTACATTGAAAAGGAGGGGAAAAAGCAGATGAGATTTATTTAGCAATTTTTAACCCTGTGCATCCAAAATATTATTTCAACATGCCTTCAATCTTAAAATATAATTGAGATTTTACTTTTTTTAAACTAAGCCTTTGAAATTCACTATATATTTTGCATTCACTGCACTACCCAATTCCAACACCAAATTTTCATTGGAAATAACTTCATCTATATTTAGATGTTGGAGAAGATGTAGAAAAATGAAAACTGCAATATTCATATGCTGCTGATGGGACTGCAAATTATACCCCTGAAAATTATTTGGTGGTAGCTACAGATGTTAAGCTCATCCTTAGCTAAATCGTTTCAAAGAGGTATATGCATATGTGCCCCTGAAAAATGTGCAAGTAGGTACAAGAGTGTATATCACTGTTAGAGATGCCCCAAAAGTTCAAACAACCCAAATGTGCAGTAAGAGCAGAAGGAGTGATTGTGTCTTCTTAGCATACTACACAGAAAGAAAAGAAACCAACTACAGCTACAAACTACAGTGTGGACAGATCTCACAAACATAATGTTAAGTGAAAGAAGTCAGACTCAAGCGTTTTTACTCTATGATCCTATTTATCTGTAAGTCCAAACAGACAAAATTACTATAGTATGTTGGTTACCTTGGGTGGATGAAAAGGGAGTAGTCATTGTGAGGAAGTATGAGAGTGATCTGTGGGGTCGTGGTGATGTTCTGTTTCTTGACTTAGAGGATGGTTACACAAGTGTGTTCACTTCGCAATCGTTCATTGAATTATATACTTGTATTTTTAGCTTTTCTGTGTATGTATTAGACCTAATTTAAATATGTTTTTTAAATAGACTATTTCAGTTAATTCATATGAGAACTTATATAGGATCTATTTAATATATTCATTATTCAAAGGTTAATTTAAAATCTTATCAAAACATTTAGTTTCAAAATAAATTAGCTCCAAAAGAGGCTTTGTTGTAGTAAAAAATACGTAATAAAAGTTCCAAGATGTTTGGATTCAAAAATACCTGTATTTAGATCCAAGCTCTGACTTTTTTTTTTTTTTTTTTTAATCTGAGACAGGGTCTTGCTCTGTCACCCAGGCTGGAGTGCAGTGTCATGATCTCGGCTCACTGCAACCTTTGCCTCCTGGGTTCGAGAGCAATTCTTATGCCTCGGCTTCTCAAGTAGCCGGGATTATAGGCATGCACCATCACACCTGATAATTTTTTTTTTTTTGTATTTTTGGTAGAGATGGGTTTCACTATCTTGACCAGGCTGATTTCCAACTCCTGTCTTCACATGATCTGCCTGCATCAGCCTCCCAAAGTGCATACAAAGTGCATACAAAGTGCAAAGGGATTACAGGCATAGACCACTGCACCTGACCTCTAACACTTATTTATGTGACCTTAGCCAAGTGTGGTAGTCATTAGTGCTGTTCTCCAAGTATGTATATCTCTATACCTTCCCCAAACAAGACAGGATTGCACATCTTGGTCCACTTGTGGTTAGGTGGAGCCATGTGACTACTTTTGGCCAATAAGTTATTAGTGGATTTTAAAATGGCTAGTATGTATGTTAAAAGAAGTAAATGAATGTATGAAAATATAAATCATTCAATAGACAGTTTTCTATTAAAAAAAAAAAAAGAACCAAATGGATATTCTGGAAATTCAAAATACAATATCTGAAGTTGAGAATTAATTAGATTTGTTACAAACCAGATGGGACACATCAGAAGTCTGAATGAGAAAACTCAGAAGCAAGGCAGCAGAAAATATCCAAACTGAATTACAGAAAAAGAATAAAAGAGAGCATGAGAGTTATGTGAGACACAGACAAAACTTCCAACAACTGTGAAATTGGAATCCTGGAAGAAGAGAGAGGGGAAGGACAAGAGAAATATTTAAAGAAGAAAGTAATTGAGAATTTTCCAAATATGGTGAGAAACTTTAAATCACTGAATCAAACAGTTCACTGAGCCCAACAGGGTGGACACAAGTTGGACACAAGTACATACACAAACATATACATAAAACCCATCCAAGTACAGTCAAGTTCCTGAAAATCAAAGATAAAGAGAATTTAAATGCAGTTAGAGAAGACAGGACATACTTCCTTTGAAGGAGTAGCAAGACTGACAGCTGGCTTTTAAACAAAATTATTAAAGCTAGAAGATACAGGAATAATGTCTTTAAAGTGCTGAAAGGAAAAAAAAACCTAACTGGAATTATTTACCCAGCTGGAAATATTTTTCACAAATGAAGACAAAATCAAGGTGCTTTAAACCAAATAAATAAATCAAGCTAAATGATTTTATTGCCATCAGAATTGCATTTCATGATATACTGAGGGGAAGTCTTCAGGCTAAAGGAAGATTATCCATATGGAAGCGTGGAACTAATGGGCAGAGTAAAGAGTGCTAGAAGGTGTAACAATGTAAGACAATATTGACTGTTTCAAGTAACAGTAATAATGTCTTGTAGTATTTGTAACATACATAAAAATGAAAGATACAGCAATATTACAAAGCCAGAATGGGTATATACAGTTAAATTGTTGTATGGTTTGTACACTTTTTTGGAGGTAGTAAAAGTACTCATTTAAAGCAGACTGCTAAATCAAGTTTGTGTATTCTACTCTCTTTGGGTAACCACCAACAGGACAATGAAAGAAGGCAAAATTTAAAAGCTGTAGTGGAATAGCAAAGTAATACTTAATTAAGAGGGAAGAATAGAGCAGCAGAGAATGAATGGGACAACTATAAAATGGGAATTTAATTTACCTTAAATGTGAATACCTGAATTTTCCATTTAAAAACTGAATGTTGGCAGACTATATTAAGTGAAGTATAGCTACATGCTGTTTACATATGAGGTAAACTTTAGATGTAAGAACACAAACAAAGGTTAAAATTAGTAGGATGGCAACTCATACTATGCATAGACTGACCAAAAAAAAAAAAAATGCCTAATAGGACAAAATGACTATTCTTTAAGGCAAGGACTATCAGAAGAAATAAAGACACTTATGATGAATGGGTCAGTTCAACAGAAAAAAAAGTATAATGATATTCCTAAATTCTTATGTACCTAACAACAGGTATACACACACACACACATGCAGAGAGAACAAAAAGAGACAAAAATAAAAGGGGAAATAATGAGAGATTTTGAACAAAGCTTGTAGTAACTAATGAAGTAAGAATTGAAAAATAGGTAAGGATATAGATACAACATACTTCAGCACTTCAATTTAATTAATATGTGCCACTACATACAACCATTGCAAAAATACCAGCCATTTAGGCTCCCATGACCATAGGCAGGGCACTGGCGTTGGCCTGTGGTTGTGTTTGCCAACTCCTGTGTTAGGCCATGAAAGAAGTTGAAATAAATATTAAAATACTGAAATCAGTATATGTTCTTTAAACACTGTGGGCTTAAGCTAAAATTAAATAGCAGATAAACAGAATATCTTCATATATTAGGAAATTAAGCAACATATTTTTATCTAATGGTGGATAAAATGAATCACAAAAATTAGAAAATTTTCTAATTATTAGAAATTTTTCTGATTTAGCTGAATGATAATGAAAATACAAATATCAAACACTATGGGATGCAATGCAACAGTGCTTAAGAGGGAAACATTGTTTTAAGTGCCTGTATTACAAAAGAATAGCTGATAGTAATCTCTAGGCTTCCTTTTCAAGATGCTAGAAAAAGAAAAGCAAATCGAATCCAGAGAATATAAAGAAGAAAAA